CACGGGCGAGCCTGCCTCCCAGGCCCCCTGCGCCCCAGCCTGCAGAGGGCTCTTTGCCTGGTAAAAGCAGAGAAGTGACCCCTGCGGCCTAGGGAGGCAGGAGAGCACCTGGGGTGCCTAGTAGGTTGATGGTTTGGGCTGTGGACTTACACGGATCTGTTTTCTAATCGTGGCTCAGCTACTTTCTAACAGTGGAAAAATCATGATCTTCGAGTTCTTCCTTTATAAAACAGGGCCTTGTGTTATCCACCACTGAGTGAGAGTTAGTGGAGATAATGGACATAAACCATTTAGCGCAGTGCTTCAATTATATTAAATACTAAATGCATGTTACCCCACACCCCCAAAAAAGGCTATGTGGGAAATTGGGCCCTTTGCACTTTGGAGGGAACTCATAAACTTCAGATGCAAAGGATGCCAAGTCTCTGAGTTGGTTTTCTTATTCAAGGAATCCAACAAGACTCATATGGCCTTAAAAATAAATAAATAAAAAGACTCACATGGCCTCTTGATGAGGATGCCTTGACTGAACAGTATCTGCTTTCAGCTGAAATTCCAGCATTCTGTGGACCTCGCTGACCCTATTCTGATTACCTTGGATTAATAGCAAACAGGACATATGAATTATTTCTCAAAAGCACAGTTTATGTGGAAGATATAAATCTTTCCAAATAGGCTGAAATGGAGGGAGGAGGAGCATGAACAAGGGCATCCTCCGAGGGAAGCCATGCAGACCAGGGGAGCGGGTCCCGCAGGGCCGAGGCTGCCCTTGCAAAGATTCAGTGTGGGGATGATGGTGTGGGTGGCGGCAGGCCCTGCTGGCTCAGGGTGAGCTGTGGCCAATGGCAGGATGCCCAGACTACCCATCGGAAAGAGGCTCTGAGGCTGAGTGGCCCCAGGCCCAAGTGGGGGCTGCTTGACCCAAGGCCTGGGGGCAAGTGATGATGAGGATGTCCTAACACCCCAACTCAGGCTGCCTCCAGGGTCAAACCCTCTCCAGGCCCCTGTATTCCCTGTGGGCCCCAGACAACTCCCCCTGCCAGCCCCTCTTTCCAGGTGCTCGCTCTGCTAAGCTGCCTGCACGGAGTGTGCCTACAGCCAAGACGCTGTGTCCTTTCTTGTCGGGGCTGCCAACAGAACTTCCTGAAAACTGGTGGGACCAGGTGGCAATGGGAAATGACTTTTTTTCCAGAGGAGGAGCTCAAGGGGGGGAGCCAGAGCAAAGAGTCACTTGTGAAGCCAGAGTCTTCAGGGCTTATGCTTGGAGAGCTCTCAACTCAGGTGGTTGATCAGAATGTCACAGGCTGCCAGAATTGAGAGCATCCCTTGCAGTCAACGGGAAGGGAGGAACACCCTCCAGGGAAGCCAGGGAAAGGACAAGGTCAAGGTCATGCGGCATGAATAGGCAAGCTGGCACCTGCTCCAGCTCATTCCTTCACCAGGACATTGAATCCTCACTTCTAAGAACCCTCCATCCCTCACAGCAGTCACAGCTGCCATACAGCTGCCTGAGGAGACCCTATTTACTCTTGGTGCAGGAGTTACAGAGGGAGATTTGGGGTGCACAGGAGAATGTCCTAGCCCCCACCCAGTGTACAGGCCTTCCTGCCAGTGAGGTCCCTTCCTGGCAACCCTTTGCAAAGAGACCCCAGGTCTCAGGCTCAGCTCTGACCCCTGGAAGGCTCACTGGCATAGAGGCCAGAACACAACTTGGGGCCTACCCGGTGGCGCAGCGGTTGAGCGCTGGGCTGCAAAGCTGCCCGCAGCCTCTGCAGCACTGGTTCGATCCCTGGCTTCCAGCGAGGGTCCCACATGGCGCACAGACTGCTTCTGTTTCGCCCGCTGCTCCCCTCAGCAGTACACTTCGTCAGTCTGCCTGTTCTGCTCCCGCTCTGGCTCTGGTGAATCCTCTCACCCTCCCACGCTTCTGACTGTACCCAGTGCTTGTATAAGTAAATAAATAAGTCTTAAAAATAATAAATAACACGACTGGATTGGCAGCCAAGGAAATTGCCGGGCCCCAACACCATCTCCAGCAAGTTGCCCCTTCTCTTGAGACTGAGTTACCTCAACTACCAAATGGGAGTGAAGCTCGCAGAGGGTCTCTAGAAGGTAGTTCTGGCACAGCATCTCACCCAGAAATACATTAGCTGCCCTCGTCTGCCAGCCAGCCCTCCTACCCCACCTCCCCACCCCACCCAACATACACAAATCTCTTTTGTGGACTGACTTAGCACCAAACATACGTGGAACAAATTCTTAGGTGTGCAAATCCATTCCCTCCACATGCTGACAGTGACCTTGAGAGAAGCCCTGGCCCTTGACCTGCAGCCTTTACCTGCCCAGAAGTAGCAAGGCCAGAGCAGCAGGCCCTGCTGAGGCAGCTGGTGAGGGCCGAGAGGTAGTGTCAGGGGGCCACCAGCCAGGCCAACCAGGAGGGGCAGAGGTGACCATCAGGCCCCAGGCTAAAAGACCCAGGGGGCTGGGTCTGGCTATTTTTAACTCAGCTTAGCTTTCTCTACCTGGAAACCAACTCTGGCCAGTGGAGTAGTGCTGTTCCCGGAATGGTTTCACCCCCTAAGACCTGGGCTCACTCAGGTTGCCCGGGCCAGGCCTCTCCATTTCACGGGATCCCTGTCTGCCCGCTGGAGCTGAGGGCAGGGACCCAGCGAAACGGGAGTCGGCACAACTCCCGCTCTGACCTGCGGGACGGGCGGCGGCCCCTGCCCTGCCGTCATTCTCCTTTCACACCACAGCGGGCTCCTGTCTCCTGGTCCCTTTAATTCTTCTATTATGTTTCCCAGACTCGGAGCCTCTGGCCCTATTGTCCAGGGCAGCACTTTGCATTTGTGTAAAGATTAGACGGTTAGAACCTTCGTTCTCACTCTGGATGGTCTTTCTCTTCTACTTTCTCAAATCCGAGGTCTTTCTTTCTCGCTCCGCTCCGCTTCCTTGTCCTCCTCCTCTATCTGCCACCCTGTTTGTTTTCCTCCCTACCCTGACCCCCTCCTTCCCCCCGCTGACCTGCTTTCTCTTCTTTCTTCTCTTCACGGTTCAGTAATTTGAATTCTCGATCCACCCCCTATCGCCACCCTAACCCTGTCTAATGCCATTTTCATATTCTCTCGGAGGCTAGTAGAAATGGCTGGGAGAATTGCTCACCTCATTCCAGAAATATCCCTCTAAATTCTTAGAGAGGCACCACCAGGGGAGGGCTGTGAGCACTGTCTGGGGAGTCTCTGTGTTTTGCAGGGCGGACCAAGATCTGGCTTCCAGGGCCAGCGCTGCCTCTGCAGGCTGTGGCTCTGGTCAGGCGGCCCCTCTCCAAGTCTCATGGGCACTAACAGGGCTGGTACCCCGGTGATAATCCATGCACCTGGGGTTGTGATGGAGAGGAATTGAAAGCCTGCTCAGCACACAGTAGGTGCTCAGAATGTTTGTTTCTGCTTCCTTTGAAACCTGACTCAGAGCACAGAGGGTCATCCCCACTCGGCCAGCGTCTCACACACGTGTCTGCGCTGAACGTGCCTTAGGAAGAAGCACAGTTGACTCTTCCTTTGTGGTTATCTATGACCCCTTTCATAGATGACTAATGACAAAGAGCTGCTGAACACTAGATACTGGGCAGCCTAGATTCCCGGGGACCTTATTTCCAAGTTCAAAGCCAGACATTTACTAACTCATTCCTCCTCTTTCAGAGAGTACCACTCTGAGGGCTCCTACGACATGCCAGGCAGTCTCCCGGCCAGCGTTCTCTGGAATCCCGGACCGCAAGATTGCTGGGGAGATAAGCCCAAGTCATGAGTCAGGCCTGCAGGAGCACGGACTGTGGGAATTCCGAGAACAAGAGGGCCTTTCCTGTTATGCTGGAGGCAGGGTCCCCAAGGAGACTCTGTGGGAAGTGGACTCTGAGCCACGGCGGGAGCAGAGGGCAACTACCATTGCCACAAGCCTCCCAGCTCAGCCCTGAGTATCCTGCTCTCGTCTCCAGCAAGGCCTGACGTCTAAGTCAGCAGAAGGGCCAGGACCAGAATGCTAACCCCCGGGGAGCACCCCCTGAGTGCCCTTCCTTCCCTTTTTTGCTGAAAATAGCCACTGAGGTGAATCAAGACATCCTATGATGTCCAAGGTGAGAACTTTCAAGGGTTGTTTGCGAGCATAGGCATCTTTCTAGAAAGGGTGATGAAGTTGCCTTCTTAGTCTCAGGGGATCCCGTGAGCCACACAGGTTAAGAAATAGCACCAAACACTACCCCCCCCCCAACATTCCCCCACAACTCTTCAGCTTTATTTTGCAAGCAAAGAAATAGAGGCCTAGGAGGGATGTCCTTGACCCTGGCTGTACAACTGATAGCTTCTGGAAGGTACCAGAATTGTCCCCAGGCCGGGGGTGGGCAAAGGAGGGGGTGGGGGTGGAAACTTTCTGGGTGAGGTGAGAATGAGGCAGCTCCAGGCCGGGCAGAGGTCAGGGGTGAGATGTGTCCTTCACTAAGGGAAGAGGCCCAGAGAGGGTTCTTTCTTGCCCAAGGCCACACAGCCTTGAGCAGGGCTTTTATCTCCTACACAATAGAGGAGTATCCTCAGCCTTGCAGACACAGGGTCTCCTGAGAGGGAGGAGGGAGGGTTTTGCTCAAGGGACCTCCCCTCTAAAGCCTTAGCTTAGGGTAAGACACCTACGCAGCAGCAGAGAGAGTGGGGGAGGAGGCACCGGGCAGTTTGGGGGTGCTTTAAGAAGTCCAGTGGACTGACAGCTGCAGGAGAGCCTCGGGACTCAGGGAGGTGCTCCAGTCACAGAGGGAGGAGCGGGGCCTTCCACCCTCTCTCCGCCCTCTCCCCCCTTCACCAGAGAGGCTGGGGCGGGCCAGGCGCCCCAGGAGGAGGCGGTGTCCCTGGCTCCCTGCCTGCCCGGTGCAGTGGGGCAGGGCTGGACGGGTAGGGGCGGGGCGGGCGCCTGGTATTATAAGAGGCAGCCAGGGCACCCAGCTAACAAGCTATCGCTCGGCTTGGCAGCAGGACGCTGGCAGCAAGCTCTGCTCCAGTCCAGCCTGTGCGCTCCAGCCCCTGCTCTCCATCATCATCATCGCTATGGTTGCTGTGCTCACCGTTGCTCTAGCCCTGCTAGTGTTCTTGCACGAAGGTGAGCTGCCCTGGCCTTGCCTGCTGCAGCAGTCCCTGGGTCTGCTTGTCGGTGTCACCTCCCGGGGCCTTGGTACTCACTGCCCCCAGCAAGCCAGCTGGGGACATACCGGGCAGCATGGGAGTGGAGGGCTCTGCAAATGCAGAGGTGCTGCAGGCACAGGGCAGCAGCCAGCCCTTCCCACCAGGGCTGCTGGGGCTTCCCCGGGCTGGCCCAGAGCTCCTGAGCAGTGAGAGTGCCAACTTCCTCAATTATGCAAGAGGAGGAGCCCAGCGGGTCCCCCTATCCCTGCTGTGCCAGGCGCTCTGACCCACCTTCTATCTCTCTCTCCCTCTTGTGCATGCAGGCAAGGGCCAGGCCGCTGCTACCCAGGAGCAACCAGCGCCCTCACCCCATGCCCAAGGCTCCCACCTGCGACCCCGGCGTTGTTCCTGCAGCTCCTGGCTTGACAAGGAGTGCGTCTACTTCTGCCACCTGGACATCATCTGGGTGAACACTCCAGGGTAAGCAACCCGGGGACCCAGGCAGGGCTGCTAGGAGCAAGGTAAAGGGAATGGGGGGGGGGAGCACTGGCATGCCGGCAGGCTGTGGGCACAGGGCAGCTCTCCAAAGTGGGGTTATTGTTTCAATTCCCACGCGGGGCTGCCTGAACAATATTGAGGGTTATCGCATGAGAATTCTCCCAACAGCCTGGTAAGAAAGTATTGGTTCCATTTTCCAGATCAGGATACTGAGGCTCAGAGAGGTTAGGTGCCTTCCCCTAGGTCACACAGGCAGGAGGAAGTGGTAGGTGGACGTTCCGTCCTAGGTCTGAGGACTCCAGAAAGCACATCCTCTCTGCCATGCTTTCTCTGCATGGTCTTCCAAGAATAATATGATTGATGACAGTGCCCCTGTCTTCACTGTGCCAGGCACTATGCCAAGCACTGCTCGTGCATTATCATCTCGTGAAACCCTCATCCTCCCCATGAGGCAGATACTGCTACTGCAGTGGTCCCCAAATGACAGACGAGAAGCCTGCCCTGTGTCACCTGGCGGAGCTGGGGTAGGAGGCCGGTGCTGCCTGTTCTGTCTGCACCCGCACTGCCTCCGGGCCACTGCATACTTCATGCTGAAGTTTCTGTGTGTGTTTGTGTTTTTTTTTTTTTCCTTCCCCAAATTGCAAAAGGCAAGAGAAGCCCTGCACGTAAGCGTGTGTGGAGCTAATCCGCATCCAAACATTCGCTCAGGGCGGGAACCCTGCCAGTCCCTGCGTGCTGGGTCTACCTGGAGTCATTACAACTCCAACCACATCGTCTAAAATTAGCTCTGGCACCCAAAGGTGCTGGTCCAACCGGCCGCAGAGCCCCTGCCCTGCCCTGCCCCCGGCACGCCTTGGCCAGACTGAAATCAATCCCACCTGATCTCACACTTGAGCGCGCACACATGTGTGTGCATGTACACACACTCATGCACACTCGCGGTGTTCGAGTCAAAGCTCTAGGACTTATTTGTCACCCCTTCAGGCAAGTGGTGAACCAGGTGTGGGGCACTTCAGCTGTTTACTTGTGTGAGCTGGAGCGTCGCCCCTTCCTCCAGGGTCCGCTGAGAGCAATCTTTGAGAACAGGGGCCAGCCTGGCCCCATCAGTTCCTGTTTGTCTGGGAAGAGAAGGGCTCAAAGGACCCCCCACTCCCCACTTGGGGGTGAGGGCATGTTTTCCACACCTCTTCCCCATGCTGGAAGGGGTGGACGGGCCAGGGATGGTGGGGGGAAGGCCCAGAGAGGGGAGGGGTCTTGTCCGGGCTACATGGCACCTGGGAGGGACTTGTTGAAATCAGGTCCAGTGACCTCTCACTGCCAGCCCGGTGGCATGGGTGGCCATCCAGTGTGCAGCATGGACAGTCTCTGCTTACCAGTGCTCATGGTTTATCTAATCCTCTCTCTCTCTCTCTCTCTCTCCTCTCTCTCTCCACCCTACACCACCACCTTGCTGGCTGCCTGCCCACAGACAGACAGCTCCTTACGGCCTGGGAAACCCGCCAAGACGCCGGCGCCGCTCCCTGCCAAGGCGCTGTGAGTGCTCCAGTGCCAGGGACTCCGCCTGTGCCACCTTCTGCCATCGAAAACCCTGGTAGGTGGGCACCCCGTCGGCAGAGGCCGGGGTGGCTGCTAGCCTCGTCTTCCCCTAGGGAGCATGGAGTCTGGGAGGGCAGCAGAAAGTGGCTAATGAGGGAACAGAGGAGGGACCCACAGGCTTCCCTGGGTCTGGGGTTTCTGAGAGCATCACCACTTCCAGTGGGGAACCCGCCACCCCTCTCGCTGCCCAGCTCTGGGAATTGTGAGCACTCGCATCCTTATTCCTGGGGGAGAGATTCTCCCCAGTGACAGCTGAGATGGTCAGGCCCGGAGAGGGGACAGGACTCATCCCGCCAGACCACACAGCTAGTCGGAAGGAGAGCTGGGCCTCAGTCTCCAGCTTGTCACCTTGTGCTTGGGCTTTGAATTAAGACCTGAGGCTCGGGGGACTTTGGAACTTTCTTGGCGGAGAAGTAACATCTGGAATTGAAAGACCATGGTACTATCCTAGGGTCATCAGGGGGTTACTGAGGGCCTTTGCCAAGCCTCTTAACTCTCTGGGTCTCAGTCTCCCCATCTGTAAAAGGGATAGACTTTATCCCACCCCTCTTGCACTTGAAGAATTTGAAGAAAGCAGAAACTGGCTGTGCAACCCCAAACCTCTGGTTACCATGACAGTTTACGAGAAACTCCTCCTTTGGGGCTCAAGCTGGGGCTCCACCCCTACCTCAGTTTCCCTGCAAAGAACAGCACTCAGCTGCAGGTGGCCCGATTCTGGGAAGGCCAGCCACCCAGCTGCCTCTTTCTGAGGCTAAGAACACATTCCCGGTAGCTCAGTTTTCCTCGGTCCCCACCCCGCCTGGGAAAGGAAAGTTGCCAGGTGCACAGGGGTGGAAATGGATCTGTTCCTGAGGGCGGGTCGGGTGGGTGGGGGGTGGACTGGGCCTGCAGCCAGGTGGCCTCAGGGCCCTGAGCAGCCCCTCACTTGGGCCCCAATGCTGTTCATTCAGGACTAAAGCCACGACCATCCCAGGCGGCGGGTCCCCTGCAGATGTGCTCCAGACAGGCAAGACAGGGACCACAGCAGAAGAGCTCCTCCAGCGGCTGAGGTAAGGATTGCCTCTCTGACTAGCCTCCTCTGTGCTTTGCACATTCCCCTTGTTCTCCATGGGGGGCAGGACTGGGTCCCAACTGAGCAGCCAAGAGAATGGAGACTCAGAGAGGTGAAGGCACTTTCCCCAGGCCACACAGCAGTCAGTAGCATCTGCTGACCCTAGAGCCTGCACCTCATTATGCAATTTGTTGCCACTGAGTCTGGCCTTTTTTAGAGGATTTGAGGGCACACGGCTGTGGAAGGACTGTGGGTGTTCATTCAGGCTGTGTCTGAATGGAGGGTCTCCACATCTGGCGTTCAGGGGACTGAGAACCTAGCCTTCTCCCTCCCCACTGCTGCAGACTGGCAGCCTCAGCTTGAGCATGGGCACGCAAAGAGGCCATGTCCCACCAGATGATCTGAGAGCAGAAACCCCACAAGTGTCTGTGCAGCAGAATGGCTAAAGGGGCAACTTCTGGAAACAGAACCCCAGCTCTGCAAGATTTTGTGACCTTGGGCTTGTCACTAAGCTTATCTGTCCTTTGGGTTTCTCTATTTGAAACGAGGACAGCAAATGCTAACTGAAGTTAGAGGTTGTACGGTTAGAGGAGTTGGCCAATGAGAAGCATGTGGAGAAAGCCCCCAGGGATTTCTGGCAGTGTCAGCCCCACTACTCCTGTCACTGAGGCTCCTTGGGGCTGGCCAGTGTGAGCCCAGCTTGATCCTTGGAAATCTTCATCTTTGTGGGGAGGCAGAACATAGGAGAAAATGCAACTTATGAGTTGTCTTAGAATGAAAAAAAAAAAGAAGATAAACTTTTCAGTGTATGACAGTCATTGTGGGCAAAGCTTGCTTTGCCACCCTGGACTTAACCTCACAACAGTTCCAGTCTGTTTATTTTACAGACCAAGAAAGGGGCTCAGAGAGGGTGAGACACTTGTCCAAGGTCCCACAGTGGGGAACTAAAGCTCCCAGGCTAGAAAACTTTGGGCTAGGATGAAACCGCCTGGAAAAGACTTGGCCAGAGTGTCAGCCGGGTTCAAAGGGCAGCTAGCACCCCTATTTGTCTGGGTTGGATCACTTTGAGCTGGACCTGGAAGAATGGGGGGAATTTTAAAAGGCAGAGCTTGAGTGACGGCAAGGTGACCAACATGAGCAAAGGGATGGTAGTGGGGAGGCAGATCGTGAGAGAGACGCTGGCCTGTTCTTGGCTGTCTGGCCACCTCTGGCAGCATATGGTGTTGACAACTGTGCTTGTAGGCAGAGAAGCTTTTAGGCCTGTCCTAGCCTGTCAATTAAATGCAGACCTTGTTTTCAGGGTCAGCTATGGCCACCCCACAATGAAGGGTTCCAGTCCCTATCACCACTACTTCTCCCCAGGAACGCTTGGTCAGACCATATCACCTGAGATACTAAATTGACCCTTCTCTATCTCCAGGGACATTTCCACAGCCAAGATCCTCTTTGCAAGGCAACAGCAAGTGGCATCAAGAGAGCCCAGGCCCACACACTCCAGGTGGAGGAAGAGATAGCATCGGGAAGCTGGAGGAACCTTGGGAAGGAAACCTGCGTGGAGACAGGAGGAGAGGGGCGGCCTTGGGCTTGAGGGAAACCCTCCACCTGTTCTCTGGGCCAGGACCTGCTGGGATTGGCACAAGCTCTGGCTTCCTCGCCCCATGAGGGAGCTTCCCTCGAAGCAGCTCCATGGCCTCACACTGCCCAGGGAAGCCTTCGACCTGCAGAATGCTCCACCCACTGGCTCCCATCCACAGCCCTGTTGAAAGGAACTGTGTGGAGCTCGCTAACCCGGAGGGCCCATCCTGAGACGTGTCCTGTCTCTTGGCAACCAACCTGGAGTGATGTGCGACGGTGGACCTTCACGCCTGAGTCAGCCCCGGAGGCTGGGCTGCTCAAGGACTGGTATCCTGGCTGGCCCACACCTGCTCCCTCCAACTCTCCTGCCCCAGAGTCCTTGTACCCTCATACTCTGAGGACACTCCTAGTGACAAGGGGCGGTTCTGTTTCACCTGCCTGTATATAACTTATTTTCTGTAAGACCTTTGACAATTCCAATTATTTATTTTAACGTATTTTTTTAGACTCTCAATTATTTACCTGTGAACCTGTGTTTGTAATAAACAAAGAAATGGTACACTGGTATTCTGTTTTGGCAGAGGCAGGAGTGGGGGACACTTCTCAGGAAGGGGCTGCTAGGAAGTTAGGGGGACGCAGGAAGGGAGGGTTTGGAGCAGGTAGCCAGAGCCCTGGGTTCCACTCCCCATACCTTTGCCGGGCATCTTTGGCTGCCCGTCCATTCTCTCTGGGCTTTTGCCTGTCACACCCCTGGACAAACCATTCACAGCTTTGATACCCAGGGTTCCAGGACCTCTGTTCCCATCAGGCCAGTAACTGATGACTAGGCATGTGTGGAAGGAGCCAAGATTATGTAGGTGCCAAAACCCACTCTGCCCACACTGCCTTGTCCATGAGGAGAGCCTGTGAGGCCTAGAGCCAGTCCTTCTGTCAGGGCTGACGCTGGATGGATTCCAAGACTGTAAGCCGCCCTACTGGCCTATGACGGAACTACAGCCTGGCCTTGTCCCTCACCTTGAGCGTTGGGTGGGACCTTGCTAGGGGAATTTTAACACTTCTCAGGTCCAAGAAACTCCAGGGCTCTAGCACTAGGTTGGCCAATGCTGCAACGCCCTAGAAGCAGCCCACCTGAGTCCTAGGGATCACTGGTAGCCCGGAACACTTCTGCTGCCAGCCTCCTGGACCCACAGCTGCCATTTTTGCCAAGTCCCCTCCTGAGCCAGCTGTTCCCTTTCTGCCTGCTGGCATGTGCTGGGAGTGGCAGACTGAGGCCTACAACCACTATTGAAAATTATTTATACATTGCTCTAATCCTGCTTGACCCATGAAGTCAGCCCAGATCCCCTCATGGAAGAAAACATGTTGACAAATATTAAACTCCTACTGTATACTGGCATAAGCCATTTCATTCTCACAAAAAACTATGACATAGGCACTTCTAGTATTCCCATTTCATAGATGATGGAACTGATGCCCAAAGAAGGGGACTGACTTCCCAGAAGTCATGAAGCAAGTAAGTGGTGATGTCAGGACTTGGGCTAGTCTATGGCACATGTGTGCACAGGCACGTATGTATGTAAGTAGCACTTGTTGCTTGAATTCGTCGATCACCCCTGTAGCATGACCTTGAACAAATCCTTTTCTCTTCCTGAGCCTCAGTTTTTTCATCCATAAATTGGGAACCTACTTTTATCCTTAAATTAGTCCCTACTCAGGGCCTAGTGTGAACACTGAAAGTATAAGTTATGGTGCTGGGCTCAGCTCTGCTCAGGCCACCAGGGGTGACTGTGCCATGAGTGAGGCCAACTCAGAGCCAAAGGGCCTGAGAGGAGAGGCTGCAGTGGGAAGTAGTCAGAGAAAGTCTCCTGGACCAAGGCTCTACTCCCTCCGCTTCAAACGATGAGTAGGACTCAAATCAATAGAAAAAAAATCAGAGGGGCTTCTACACAGAGGGACAGGAAGGGTGAAGGAGTAACAGAGGGAGTGACAAAGGAGGCTCCCAAGCAGCGGGAACTTGGTGAGAGGAAGACAGCTGGGCATGAAGCCAGAGAGGTTTTGAAGCTGAAGTACAGAGTCTGGACCTTCTCTTATGGGCCATGGGGAGCCATAGAAGGTCTGTGAGCAGTGAGGGACCTGGTCAGGCTGGGCTTTGCAAACCAGCCACTGGAGGAGTGAGCAGGGCAAGAGTGAATGAGACAAGAGGCAGAGAAGCAAGTTCACCACCAGCCCTTAGGGGTCTACAGAGCATCTTGGGTGGTATGAGTTGATGTAGTGGGGTCACCCTATTCACTTACTATGACCAGAGGCCAGAGAGCCCCTCTTAAATTTCTGTTGACCCTGAAGCCAGGTGCTGCCCACTCCCTGACAGCCCATCATCCCATTCAAAATGACCCTGCTCCCTTGGAAACCCAAAGGCAGCAGCCAATGGCCAGGCTGGGCAGCCCAGTGGGGCCCCCCTAGGATGGCAGGTGGGATGGAGAGCCCGGTGAGAGAAGACCCTGGCTGACGGTGTATGGGAGGCCCCGGGAAGAAGGCATGTCCTTGGCACCGGCTCAGTGGCCCTGACCAGTGTTCAAAGATCAGAGACCAGAATGATTAAGTAACAAAGATTATTAAAGGGAAGCAAGGAAGCCTAGGAGGCAGCCGGTAAAGGCATGCTGACATCACAACCCTTGGATTTTCATTCTTTGGAGTTGGGGGTCTCTGGCACGGACCTGCACTTGAGGGGGCCCTGCTCTGGCCTTCCTCCAGTCCCACCTCCCTTCACAGGATGAGAAGCTTACAGGGACAAGAGGGTGATGAGCACCCGAAGTCTGTGCCTGCATCCAAACCACATTCCAGGTAGCTGCGGGCCCAGAAGCGTAGAGGGGGGTGGGGCAGAGTTTGAGGGAAAGCAGAGGAAATTGTGAGAGGCAAAAATGGAATCCTGGGAAGGGTGTCAACATTGGGGGAAGTTCATCTTTTCCTTTTGCTGTCTTTTTCTGTCTTTTCCATAAATACTTAGGTTTGTCAAGGCTTTTTGAATCAAATGTGTTCCTTTTGACTGGAACATTAGGCAAAGGTAGGCCAGAAGGGGGCACAGGATCACCCAAATTTATTCAGGTTACAGAAGCAGAGGCAGAGAGGTGTTGGGGCCCACAGCAAGGGCTATGTGACCTGCTGCAGGTCCAGGCAGACCAGGCCTCTCCCGCCCCCAGGATGCCTTGCCCCCTGCTTTCACTCAGGAAAGAACCCCAAGGAATGCATTTCTCTCTCTCTCTCTCTCACCACCGCCCCCCCCAACTAAAAATAGAGATCAGGTTGTTGGGTTTTCAGTTCTGAAAAGTTATTTGCCTATCAAGGCAATAAATCACTGGAATGTAGCCATCTATTCATTCAACAATTATGAATAATCACCTCTCTCAGGAGACTCTTCAAGGAAGACAGACACAGCCTCTGCCCTCACAGGCCAAGAGGAGAGCCCTTCATGAACACACTTAAATATTATGATAAAAATAATAGCACAGCTAACATTTATTGAGCCCTCACTAAGTACTTTCTGCATATTAATTTCTTGGTTCCTCACAGCACTCTTAGGCAGCAGGATCTGTCATTATTATTTCCATTTCATACAAGCTGTAACTGAGAGGTTCAGAACTTGCTAAGCTTGCACACAGCTAGAATGTGGTGGAGCTGGATTTAAACCTAACTCTATGCTATCCTGACTCTGCTAGGGTACATTCACACTAGGACAGAGTCCGTGGGGTGGAGGAATCCAGGAAGGTAACCTAGAGGAGGTGACATCTAGGCCAAGTTCAAGGGGATTAGTCAAATGAAGGAAGGGGCATGAAGAAGAGTGTTCCAAGCAGAGGGAATGGCTTAGGTGAAGACTCTGTGGGGAAGGGAGCAAAAGAAGGGGGTACCATGAAGAAGGCTGTGGAGGGGACAGGGAATGGGCAGTGCCCCCTAGCACCAGGCCCAGTGTGAGCATGTGGCAGGGTTTGGGTTATCAGCCACCCACCATCACCCCCACCACAGCTGCAGAAAATGACTCCCCGGAGAATAGCACCATGCCTGAAGTGCCCCTCAAGACTTAAGTCTTAAGATCAAACCACACTTGCTGTCGTCAAGGGTCTCACAAGATGGCAAAATGAAGGACAGGAGGTAGACTATGTTGGGGAGGCCCTTTCAGCTGGTGGGAGGGGAAGGGGGAAGGGTTGGGGACTGGGTAGGACTGGCAGCCAGTGCTAGCATGGGGGAAAAGGCAGCACTGTGGGGGGTAAGGATATGAGGCACCACTGGCCAGAGCACGGAAGAATCAGAGAGAGGCAGGGGCCAGCTGGGAAAGGCATCCTGTGCCAGGAATTTGAACATGAGTGATGGGGAACCAGGCAAGTTGACTAAGCAGGGAGACCTGGGACAGGAGCAGGCCTTGAGATACTGGCTTATCATTGCCCCTCCCTGGCCAGTACTTCCAGCTCCACAAGACCCTCCCAGCCCCTCTCAAGGGAGAGCAGTGTGGGCCTCACCTCCGCCTGCCAGGGACCTGAGCCAAGAGCCCTCAGCAGCTCGGAAGGGGGCCCTGTGCGGGCCCGCCGGGAGCCCTGGAAGAGGAATGTGGCCTAATTAATTCTCCAAAGCTCAGAAGCCTCGCCTTGTGGGAGTAGCTGCCAGGACAGGCCTGCCAGGACGCCACCGGCCCAGCCTGTCGATCACTCGGTGTGGAAGAGAGTGAGGGGGACTGGGAGACAGGGGTTCAGAGGGCCAGCCCTTTGCCTCCAGGCACACACGTGTCCTCCGGCCCCTTCACAGCTAATGCAACAGTACCAGCAATAGCACTAGCCAACAGGCAGAGAGGGCTTGCTGTGTGCCAGGCCCTGTGCTGAGCACAGGAACTCACTTATCTAATCACTGCAAAGACCAGTGAGGTGGGCACTGTTAGCACCATTCGCAGATGAGAAAACTGAAGGTCAGCGAGGTGACTTCCACGCCCAGGGCCATGCGGGGAAAGCTCCTGGAGGGAAGCTGGGAGCTGCAGGCAATCTGGGCCCCAAGAAGGTGTTGTCGTAACCACCACCCTGGGCTGGCTCAGTAGGGGACATCGAGGTCCAGGGAAGCAGTGTCTAAAAGGGGTCTGGGGCCCCCAGATACTGAAAGGAGTAGGGTCTGCTGGGGAAAGACCACACCGCTGGCCTCTGCTTGACCTGCTCCTCTAAAGGGTACCATGGAATTGTTCCTCCCTGGTCTGCAGCTCACGCTCAGGGATGCATTTCTCACTACCTCTGGGCAGAGCAGCTGCAGGAAGCAAGTCTGTCTCCTGGGGTCTGTAGTCTCATTCTGTCATCCAGTTCTGCAATCTGGGCTCTGTCCAGGAATATAGTAACACATTAAGCTGAGGCTTCAGCTTCAGCTCAACCTTCAGAGACTCCTCCCACTGACCCTAAATCCCTACACACAGAAGGATCACAGAGGTCAAGGGCAGCTCAGAGTGGTACAGGAATAGGCTGGGCTATGGCCTGATAGCTGGGAAGTGGCAGAATGAGGACAGACCCTAGGAGGACC